TAACGTTACTTAAAGCTCCAAAAAAGGATATTTTGGCCAGCGTTATAAAATTTGGCCGAGATTAAGCATGTGATGTATAGGGAGTGACAAATAGTATTTTTTGCACTGAAAAAATTCTAAGTCCCCAGAATAAATAATAAAAATGGAGAACTAGAGGATGTGACGTGAGGTGACAAATTATTCACATATGTAAAGTCACGTGATACTTGCGACACATCGCTATGGCAATTTTTTATAAAATCCTAATGTGAATTGTATATGAATATTATATAAAATATTATACATGAAATATTATTATATATACAAAATATTACTTTTAAATGTAAATTCTATTTATAGAATGAAATATTTCACAGTATATATTTCTTGTCTTGCAGTTCTTTAAAAATCTTAATATATTGATATACAATTACTTTTAAGAAAGCAATATATAATTGCTAATTGTTTATATGTAAAAACAGGTTCAGGTAAATAAACACCAACTCTGCTCAGAGTTTGCTCTTATAATTTATTAATTGTTATTGAGAATGCAACACATACTGGAAATTGACATTGATTCGAAGTAAAATCTCATCATTTTTCATCTCATATTACTTCTCATTATTCGTTTTCCATTATTTTTTATTACATTTTAGTTTTTATTTTCCATTATTTCTTTTTCTCTTCTGTTTACTTCCCATCATTTCTTTTTATTTCTTATCACTACTTTTTATTTTCCATCACTTCCTTTTATTTCCCATCATTTCTTTTTATCTTCTATCACTCCTCTTCGTCTCCTATCACTTCTTTTTATCTTCCATCATTCTGTTTTGTCTTCTATCACTTCTCTTCATCTCTCATCACTCCTTTTCGTTTCCTATTACTCCTTTTTATCTTCCCATCATTTCTCTTCATATTCCAATTACTCTTCTTCATATTTCCATCACTTCTCTTCATATTTTTATTATTCCTTTTTGTCTTTTATCATTCCTTTTCATCTTTCCATCATTTCTTTTCATCTCCTATCACTTCTTTTCATTTCCTATTACTCTTTTTCATCATTCATCATGTCCTATTTTTCCTTTTTATTTCCTATCACTTTTTATTACTTTTTTTTTATTCCATTTCTTCTTTTATTACTTTCTATTAATCCATTGTTATTTCATTTTTTTTATTAGTATCTTTTTCCTTAATCATTATAATTTACTTATCTTTTTTATTTATTATTATTATTTTTTATTTGTATTACTTCATTAAAAATAAATATGGTAATTTTTTTCTTTAAAATCAAAAATATGGAACTTAAATTTTAATATTTGCAAATAAAATTTCATTGAATAAGATTATTTTGAATAAATATGTTTGCAAAAAATTTTTTTAAAAATATCTTTGCAATAAAATTTTAAGTTTAACTGATCAAAAATTAGCTAAAAAAACTTATATGTTTTCCAATCAAATAAATAATCAAGCACTGAATTATACGGTATATAATTTAAAGATTATTTATAAACATTAGAAAATCAACATGTATTTTTTTATTATATTATATAGATTTTGCATATATAACCTTTTATATATTTTATTATAATATTTTAATTTTATTTTTTTATTCAATTTTTAATTTTAATATTTCTATAGTATTTTTTAATTTTTTTAAAATACTAACAATTTATTAAAATAGGTAAAGCATTTATCAATTGATAAAGAATTTTATTAAAAATTTTTTTTTTAATATAAGATTTTTTTTTAATAAAAAAATTTATTGGAAATTTTAATGCAATTTAATAAAAATTTTAAAAAAAATTTTTACTTTTTTAAATTTAATTATATAAATAAAAGACTGTTTTTCATAAAAAGTTATTTTATAATAGTTATTTATATTTACTTATATGTATAATATTTTAATTGCTTTATAATATAGGGTGAATATTGGAAAAAGAAATCAAATTGAAATTTTTTTCAAAAAAAAGTTTATAGGTAAAATAAATGTAGATTTGATCATTTGATTCAAAATATTTGTTATTTTAAACAAATTTTTTTGTTAATTTAGTCCCTTTTTTCAACACTCATTTCATATTATAGTTATAAATAAATTAGTAAATTTGTTATTATTTATAAAAGATATTTATTATCAAGTTAATTTTAAATTAAATAAAGAATTTTAAGAAAAAGTCTGCTTTATTCTAAAATGGTAACATATTAATAAGAATAATTCTTATTAATTAATAAAAGTTTTTTTTAAAAAAATTTTTTTAAAAAACTTTACAAAAACTTTTAAAATTGAAACTTAAATAGTAATTATGTAAATTTTATTATAAAACTTTAATTATTAGTAATTTAATTATAATAGAAAGTTATTGTAAAAAGTTATTATATATTAAGATAATCACTATCTGATTTAATTGAATTATGCAAAATTAGTTATTAAAATTGCAATAAAATCATAAAAATATACTATTAAAATTGTATCAAATTTATAAATAAATTATATTATTGTATTTTCAGATTTTATAAATAAATAGTAAAATATTTAATTTATTGTTTTTTTAAAATTGTAATATTTTAGTAAAATATGTTAAATACTTTAAAAAAATACATATTTTTAAAACTATATATTGTAATTAACTTTTAATAAATAAATATTTGTCTTTTAATTTAGTATTATTTCATTAATATAAAATTTTACTTAATTTTTATTTCTAATTTGCATAAAGATTTATTTAATACTTTATTAAATGAATAAATTATAGATCATAGAATCGGATATGGTTTACTATTTGATTTTTATTAAATTTTTATTTTTTAAAATTTATATGTTTATTATTAATATTATTTATTTTAATTTTTTTCTTCTTAGATTTTTTAAGAAAATATAAATATAAACTCAATTAAATTGGAATAGCCTAATATATAAACTTAATTGTTAATTGATTTTTTTTTGAAATAATATCTTTAATTCAATTTAGTATTAATTTATTAATTTATATTATACCTTTTTCTTTTTAATCTAAACTTTTTTACTTTTTAAATAACAATTATTATATAATCTTTTAATTATATAATAATTAGAATATTTCAACTTGATTATTTATTTAATATTTAGTTATATTAAAAAGTTTAAAGAAAATTTTAAAAAATTTTAAAAAGTTATAATTTAAATTTAGAAAAAATATTTAAATATATATATTAATATAAAATCCTACTTATTTATAAAATAGATTATTCCAAATCTAAGATATAAAATTCTTTGCAAATTTTATTATAAAAGGAAATTTTATGATAAACTATGGTGCTGGAACTCTATACTCAAAAATGTTTCAAATTTTTAATTTATCACGTGAGAAGCACAATAGCCAATAAAAACTCACAATTTTAGACAAAAAATAGAAAAAACAGATACGAGCATGTACAAAAAGGAAAAAAAAGGAAATCGGCTAAAGAATAAAGCAGAAAGTAGTATTTATTTAAGAACAATCAAGCTAAAATGGGGTTGAATTTTGACTTTTAAGTAAATTAAGGACATTTTAAGCCATTTTAAGCCTTAAAATAATTAAATGTCAATACGATTTATGTAAATTCTCATAAAATAAATGCATTTATGTGACTTTTTGTTTCAAATTTGGGCCAATCATATAAAAATAACCAAATTTCAAACGCTTATAACTTTTTATGTAGATATTTTTTTGAAAATCTGACTGGTAATTTAATAGTACTTGTCTTGTAGAACAAAGTTACTGGTTTATTTCTTTGAAATTCTATTTTATTAAAGTGTTAAAAGATTTATAATTATCACAATTTTATTTTTGAGTATAGAGTTCCAGCACCATAATAGAATTTAAAAAAAAAGTAAGGTAAAATTTATTAATTTTTTACAGTAATTTTTTATTATAAATAAGTGGAGTTCTATTAATATATATTTATTATAGTTTAATTATTTCAATTAATAAAAAATATTTAATTAAAAAATAAAAAAAAAAGTTTAATTTTATTGGAAATTTGATCAATTTATATTATGTAATATTACTTAAATCAAAAAAAAAATTTTTACTTTAGCAAAAATTGAAATTTGAGTTACACAAAGTTATACAATTTCTAAAAAAGGAATTTTTTTGCCAAATGATAAAAAAAATAGCTTTGTTAAATAAATTACAAATAATAAAAGTAAATTTACAAATATTACTTTTTAATATTATATATGGATATATTATAAACTTTTTTTATTATTTGTTTTAAAGGATTTATATAACATATAAGGTATTATATAAATATTTATTTATAAATTTTTTACTTTATTATAATAATAAAAGAAATTAGTAAATTTTTAAGATCTTTATATATTAAATAAAGATAATTACTAAACTTAACTGAAGGGAATTTTCCTTTTTTTTCCTTAATTTCAATTTTTAACTAAAATATTGACTTAAATAGTAATCTAAAAATAGGATTATGTAAATTTATGGAACAAAAAGATTTTATTAAGTTAAAAAAAGTAGTTATTCAGATGGTTTTTGAAGAAATTACAAAATTTTAGTTTTTATAATAAAACATTTTTTTAAACCCAAAAATTGCCAAATTTTTATGCAGTTAATATCCAATTATATTTATTTATATATTTCATAGGAAAAAAAGGTTATTTTTTTTTAATTTTTAAGGGGAAATTATCTTTCTGGTTAAGATTAGCAACTTTTTTTAAGGATCTATTGTAAATTATAAATAAATGAATTTTATATTTACTTTATACAATATTTTAATATTGTAAAAATTTATATTGTACTAAAAGTAAATTTTTATTTAATATAGATTTTATATTTTTTGAATTTACAGTATAAAATTTCAGTTTATTTGAACTTTAATTAATACCTAAAATTACTTTTAAGAAAATTTGAAATTTAATAACTTAAATATTTTTCAAAGGTAATATGTAATAACTTAATATCGGTATTTATAATAATTTATTATTTCCAAATTGCTTGTAATTTTTATTATTAATAATTTAGGCAAATTTAGTTTTTCAAACTTTATTAAGAATTTCTCAATATTTCAGCAACTACAGATACACATTCTAAATAAACATTGATACCATAACAATTATCAATTTGTAATGGATTAACCCTAGATATTAAATTTGTATATTGATCATTATCTAAAATATTACCTGGTTCGTTTACAATAACTGTATCTGATTCTACTGATGGAATAGGGCCATTCCAATCAATGCCATATTCTGTTGGATTAATTACTGAATCTTCTAAGCCTCTAATACCATATTGCATCATACCTTTAGTAAATAGTTGTATTGGTATTAAATTATGTTCAGTTCGTAATGAATGAGAATTCCAAGCATCTGAAAATAACTTTAAAATATTATTAAGTCTTGGTAAATAAACATAATGTAAACAATACAGATAAACTTCATTTTCAATATCTAATCCACAGTTTTCTTCTAGATAATGAAAAATAATTATATAAATTTTAATGACACGTTTTAAATCTAACCACAACCTTTCTATACATTGGTTATGTACTGATCGTCCAGCAATAAAGCTGCCACGGTTACTGCCTCGGTATCCTTCCATATATTGTTGAACTTTTACATTTTCACCTCCTTTATCAGCTCGAACACAACTGGGTATTCCAAATAGTTGACATGCACTCATAAAAGCAGATAAAACAGTATCAGAACGATTATTCCCTGAACATTTGAGGTATGTTATCATCCTTGAAAAACCATCTATACCCCTGTGTATAATAAATTTCCATCGTATTAATTTATGATTACCATCTATATGCCAAAGACAGTTAGGTCCAGCTACACTATATATTCTTCTTGGAATAATATTAGACCAACGATTAAGAATACCAAATGTGTCAATTCTTTGTAATGAATCACGTAAACGTTGACGTGGAATTCTTATTCCTAAAGAATGTATTTGATCCCATTAAAAGAACTTGTCCAAAAAAAGGGTGTTCAGCTCTTAAACCTTTGACAATATTATCAAGTTGATCATCCGTTATATTCATATAATTTGCTAGATCATCTGGTATATTAAATTCTTTACGACGACGATAAATTGTTTTTGCTAAAACATTAAAAATTTCTGCAATCTGACTCCAATTGAAACCTTCCTCTCTTAATAGGCGTAATGCACATTCTAAAATAATTATTTTATACCTACCACCTGTTGGTTGAAAAGATAATGCCATACCATTGGAATTTGTATCTTGTAAAGCTTCAATTTGAACGTTAAGCTGATCTGAGAGTTGCAAAATTGTACTTATTCGTGTATTATAATATGTTCTCTCTTGTATATTTAATAAACGTGAATACATAGTTGAAAGGGTATTTAGTCTTTCTATCCAAAGTTCTATCATATTAATATCACTACTATCAAGAGAGTTTCTTGAACCTTGTATTATCGTATTAGCAAATTCTTCAAATTGCTGTTCCTCAATAGTGGAAAAATTTGACGCCATGTTACGAAATTAAGGCCACAAATTGCTTTATTTAAATTGCAGATCATTTTCCATGTGAGCAAAAACACGTTAAATTAGTTCTGCATATGGTTTAGTTAAATTTAAATAAAATTTTTCTGAATCTATTAATATCACGAAATTAAGGGAATAGATATGAAATATGTAAATATTAAGACTTCATTCATATTTTTTGTTATTTTAATTTATAAATTAATTTATTAACTATTTTCTTAAAATTTAATAGTAGAAAAATGTGAATTTTTAATGCTGGTGGATCTATATATATTGATATTGGTAAATGTATGATTGAGAAAGCTGAAAAAGCAGGGAAACTCAAACTAGGATATACAATTATTGGGCCAACTTCTGAAAATACTGCATTAGCAACTGTTGTAAAAGGATATCTGGAGCAGAAATTGTCCATTCACCAACTGAAGCAACATCAGATTTACCCGAATCTCATATTATTGGAGTTGCTAAACGGAGATTCCTAATTTTACAATTTTGAATTAATTAATATTCTAATCCATTTAATCCTATAGCTCATTATGATCATACAGCTGAAGAAATATTAAGTTCTTGTGCGTATTTATAGCACAATTACAGGAGTGGATAGGAAATTGAAAGAGAAATGGCCTAATATTCAAATTATAAGCATAGACCCTAATGGATCAGTTCTCGCAAATAGGGATTCATCAGTTAGACCATATCTAGTTAATAATAATTAAGAAGTGATAACAAAACCGCAGGTCATCATAGTAATTAGTAAATATGATAAAAAAAATGAACGAAACAAAGAATAATGTTAGAGGATTATGTCGATAAAAGGTTATATAAAGGATCGAAAATGGGATAAAGCTATTATAAATATAGTCTGAGGGTTTAAATAATTATTTAATTATGAACAATAATGAAAGAAAGTGTTAAAAAAGATGTTATAGTGTTGATTGAAAGGAATGAGAAATGGGCAAATAATGTAAATCAAATATGATCGCAAGATCATGGTGTCTGAAATAATGGATTAGTATGGATAGAATATTAGAACATGCAATAGAACATTTAAATTGTTTAAAAGACTTAGTTGTTTAAGTAGGATGATGGCGAGTGGGATGATTGAATTAACCGAATAGTTACAGTATACGTTGATATCGGTCACATGATTTACTGATCTCCATATTATTGTTTTTTTTTTAAATAACGGTCATTGAATTTATATATTTATTTTTTATTAAATTATTTTGTTCTGTTATTATTTTTTTTTTTTATAAAACTACTTTGTAAGTTGAATTTAAGGAAAATTTTTTTTTTTTGAATTGGGAATGCTATTAATGTTCCCTTTTCTTTTTTTCTTTAGGTACACCTCTTGGACGTTAACTGTACTTTGGAATTGTAAATATACTGGGAGTGGGAATTAATTTTTTATTGGGAATATTACTAATGCCCTTTTCTATGTTTCTTTAGATACGCCTCGCAGAAGTCAAACTTCAGACTGGGACTTATGGATTGGGAATGGAAATTGATTTTTTTTTTGAATTGGGAACGCTATTAACGTTCCCTTTTCTTTTTTTTTCTTTAGATATACCTCTTGGACGTGAACTTCAACTTCTTGGATACTGGTACTTTGAAATTGTATGTTGAATGGGAAGGGAGAATTTTTTTTTAATTGGGAACGTTACTGATGTTCCTTTTCATTTTTTTCTCTAGAAATGACTCCTGGATTTGGAATTTTGGGAATTGTAAGTAGGGATGAGTTTAACGAAGTTTTTATCTTGGTTTTGAATATTACTATTACTGATGTTCTTTTTATTTGTTTGTAGAACAGCCATGGCTTCTCAAAGTAATGTGAGAGGGGGATATTATAATTTTTTAATATAAGATCGTTTAATAATGTTCATTTCAATTTTTATTAATTTCGGCATTATCTTTATGGGTTGGATCAGGGTGTGATCTATGTTGTGGTACATATTCTTGTCAATTAATAATGGAAAGTAAATAAAAAATATTTACATTTATAAGTTTATCCAATTTTAACAAAATTTGTTAGAAAAATATGAAATTTATTTCTGTGCACTATTTCATGTAATTTGATGATATCTACATGTATTAACCTAATTATTATTAAGAAACAAAAGAAACAATCTGAATAATGCTCAAAAATTAGGACAAAGGAGTTTAGCAAGGTTATGTTCTTGCTTTTACTTTAAAACTCAGCAGACTCCCTCCTAGTTCTACGTTCTAGTGGATTGGTTACATTAACCCAACGGAATGTTACCATTTGTCTTACATTCGGAATATTTGAATTAACATTCTAAAGGTTAAAATGTTGTATATTAATTTAAATAATTTAAATAATAATTATCTAATGATAAAATTAATTAAATTATCACCTGATAAGAATCTGTGCTTAACTCTAATGCATCAACGGGAATGGCATTCTCAACTGAATTGCCAGAATTAATATTAGATGCTGGTTGAACAAGCGTTCCAGTTGCTGTATTATTAAGCTGTGAACTTGAAAATTCCAATTCATTATTAATTTCATTCTGTAAAATGAAATTACTGTTATAGTTTCTTGAATAAACTGGTTCTGAGAAACCTTCATGATTTATAAATCCACTACGTAAGTCCTCCTTAAAAGTATTGAACCCCTGTGGCGATATTTCGTAGTTTTCACAAAAGGTTAAAAGATTTCCACATGTAGAAGCGTGTGGTAACCTATTATGCCATAGTTTTACTTCATCTGTATTAAGCTTGACCCACGAAATCTGAAAATATAAAGTAAATAAGTAAATTATTATATTTTAAATAAATTTAACAAGATATTTCATTAAAAAAATATACTTTGATTTTTGGTAATGCTGGAATAATACTAGATCCAATTGCAAACTTCATAACATTATTAAGCTCTTCTTCATCCATTGATCTTAATAATTCTTTAAATTCTTCATATAATAGTCGATATTGTGGTTTATTATGTGATTGTGCTTGTAGTTCAATGTATTCAGAATCGAATTGATCAATTACGATATTATATGTAATTTTATAGTATAATTCACGAACTATATTATGATATTTGTAATTTTTTAATTCCTAAAAAGAGGAGTTTAATTAATTGTAATTAATTATAACTAAAAATATTAATTTAAATATTAGACTTACATTGATGATATTAAATTTGTTAAATCCTAGTTTGAAATCATCAAGAGCATTTTTCCTAATTGTAATGACTTCGTATTTAGCTACATAAGAAGCAGCTTCATTATTATTTAAAGTTTTGATATGATCAATCTAATATTAAATATTAAATAATAATTAAAAAAATTATTTTCATTAATAAATCGTCATATGTTCTAAAAAAAATTTTAAAATTAGGTTATAAATTAATTATACTTACATTAATATCACAGTTGTTCATCCAAGAATGTAATAAATCATTAAAATTAGACTTCTTTTTCTTTAATTGACGAACCAATTTATAGAAAATAGGATTGCATTCTTTCAAAATCTTTTCGTGTTCAATTTTTTCATCGATCAAATATTGGATATGGAATTTATTCAACCATTGGGGCCATTGTCCATAATGTAAAATGGTCTAAAATAAAAGTATACCAAGTGTATGGCATTCTGGTGAATTATCAATTAATCCATCTGTAAAGTACAGCTGACAATCCAGTACTTTATTCCAAAATATTGAAATTACTTGTTTGAATACTCCTCCGGTATCTGTAACACTGAAAATTTTATAATAAAATTTTTTTTAAAAATAATTAAGCTTAGAATCAAAAATATGAATTAATAATGATAATGTTAAATTACTTACTCTTCTAAAGCAAGATCAATTGATGGACGTTGCAATAGGTCTTTATCATCAGCATTTTTAGCCCATTCAATTAACGACTCTACAATAGTATTTTCATTAATAAAAATGATTGTTATATTATTATCAGTATAATATTGATCTTGTAATTTATATTTAAAATGTTTCATTAAATCTTGGAGAGAGCCATTGGGTGGTTCAATTATTTCTTCTTCAGTTAAAGAAATGGTTGAAAAATTATCTGATGAATTATCAGATGACTCAGATAATTCACATAGATTATCAATAACGGGTTTGATATAAACTTTAGATTTGCTCGTTGACGCTCTATTAAAATTAAATTAAATAAAAATCAATACTTCGTATATAAAACTTTAGAATTTAAATCATCAGTGAAACTTAGCTATCTTATAATAATTACCTTTTGATATAATAGGACCCCGGATATCTCCAAAACAGGTCATAAGTCACACTTTCGGCAGATTGGCCCATTTTTCAGGGCTCAAAAAATCGTTTTTTGTAAATATCTCGGCATCCAGTGGTCCAATTTTGATGAACTTTTTTTAAATTGTAGAGCTAAATGAGGGCTACAAAATAAAAAAAAGTTCATTAAAATTGAATTACTGGATGCTGAGATATTTACAAAAAACGTTTTTTTGAGTTTTAGCAAAAAGGGGTTTTTTTGGCCAAAAGTCCATTATGACCTTTATATTAGATATCCGGGGTCCTGATATAATTAAGATCTTTAATACTTTCTGGTTCAAAAGGCATTTCTTCAAGATCACTAGTATTTTTTGCTTTAAAGCATTGCCAACCAGTTTCGATTAAACAAGGAAATGTTGCAACAACTTGATTGTTAACATAATTTTCACCATCATTGTTAAAAGTAATTTTTTGCAAAAGAAGATTTTGCGTCATTAACTGTTCCCACCTATAATTAATTATATGTTAAATTTTAATGAAGCAGAAAGAGCAAATTAAAAACAGCTGAAAAAAACTTACAACTCGTTTCCTCTTTTTGGGATGGATGAAATACTCCTTTTAGAAATTAAAGTAAATTCAAAAGAAATTGCCCTAATTTTATTTTTTTTAGTTTTTCCTTTGAAATTTAATTTGTATTTACTACTTTCTTTGTGTAGGTTAAAATTCAATCTATTAATTGAACTACTAGCTGTAGAAACAGCTGTTAATCTTCCTTTTACTTCTTCAGATCGTAAAAAAGCACGAATATCATCTGTTTCCTGATTAGATGTTTCGTCTCCTATTAATAAGTTTCTGGAAGATATATTTGGATATGGTGCAAACAAATTATTATTTCTTTCATTAGAATCCTCTCCTGTGGGTTTCTAAATAAAATTATAAATCTCATAAATATTTATTAATTTTGCTATAAATCACCGGCGGTGATCATCACCAGTATCATGTGTTATTATATATCGCGTAAAATTATAATTATTATAATTGTCATACAAACATGTGTTACATGTGCGCGTAATTGATTTCTCCCTATTTTACCCTTATCACGTGATTTGCGTTATTGTTTATTGTAGTATTGTTCGCAATTGATTTTTCCCACTCAGCCTCTTGGCAGGTCTATTATTGCTAGTTTCTTGTAAGTTTGATAGGACTTTTGAAGGGAAGAGTGTCGTGTTTGATAGACGTCTGAATTTTCTTTACCTTCCTAACCTACATCAATAAAAAAAGACTTAGGTAAAGGAGTATCAAACGCGTTTGATATTTGATAAACTTAGAAATTTCTACCTTATGTCGCTTATAGAGTCTAAATATCAAGTCCAGTCATCATCCCGAACTACAAACACAGTAGTTATAGATGATATGAACAAAAATATACCACCTGAATTTGAAAGTATTAATTTCTACCTTATGGAGTCCGAATATCAAATTCAGTCATCACCCCAAACTACAAACACGGTAGTTATAGATGATATGAACGAAAATATACCACCTGAATTTGAAAGTATTACAAATGGAGATTATATCAATGATATGAATGTTAACAAAGCAATACTAAAAGTTAACGATACCTTTAAAGACTGGAATGAAGTTGATGTAATTGTCAATCAGCATGCAAGACAAACTGGTTTCGTTGCTATTAAAATCCGTAAAGACTTTGATGATGTTGACAAAACGATTGTTCGGTGACGTGTCTATACTTATTGGAAATCAGGAACCAATAAACTGAAGAAGGTAGAGGATATTACTTTACATCATGATGCTACCACAACCAAAACAAAATGTCCATGGCAAGCATCATTCTATTTTGGAAAACGTGCAGCTACTATACATTTTAGCAAATTCAACAATGTCCATAATCATCAATGTGATCCAGTAACTATAGAATTTGCATCTAAGAATCAACATTTTCCGCAAGCAATGCTGGATAAAATTGAACATTATACCGTCAATGGACATTTAAGTGCTGGTCAACAGTACGATCTTCTCCTAAAAGAATTTCCTCAACATCATATAAAGAAAAAGAATCTATATAATGCAATTCAAAAGTTCTGAGGGGTTAGAATTCATGATGAATCTGATGCAAAAACGATGTTCTCATATCTTATGGAACAACATGACAAGGATCCTGATTTTATTGTTAAAACACAATTGGAAGGACCTTCAAATGAACTAACTGGACTGTTCTGGATAACAAGTCAGCAACGTAACGAGCTTTGGCCTAAATATCATGATGTTGTCATACACGACAATACAGCCAAGACAAATCGATACGAAATAGCCCTTAGCTTATTTGTTGGTATTGATAGCAACTTTAAAACAAGGATCCTCGCTCAAGCATTAACAAAATACGAAACTTTGGCTGATTATAAATGGATATTGCAATGCACATTAGAAGCCACAAGTAATCTCTCACCTGTTGTGCTATTTACAGATGGAGATCCGGCGATGTTAGGTGCTGTCCAGATGACTTATCCACAAACTCGACACTTGCTATGTATCTACCATATTACAGAAAATGTAAAGAAGAAAGCCAAGTCTAAATTGCGTGGGTAGATAATCAATAATTTTATTGAGGATTTTTACCACATGCGCAATAGCTATACGCAGTGTCAATTCGAATCAAGATACAAAGAAATGCTCACAAAATATGAGCCATGTCGAGCTTACCTTGAAAATAAACTTTACCCAAGTCTAGAGTCATGGGCGAGGTATTCCATTGGAAAGATATTTACAGCAGGGGTTGAGTCAACTCAACGGATTAAATCCATTAATGGTGTTCTTAAAAAGCATTTTGACTGAGGTACACTTTTAAAGGAGCTAGTAAAAGAAGTTGAACGAGAATTAGACAAAGAAGCACATTACAGCCATCTTAATAATTATTATGGGTCAAATCCGTCAATTGGTCTTCCATCAACATACGAAACCATCTTTAAAGACATTGATTCTATATTAAAAGAGTGTTTAACACCTATACTATTGTCACTTTAGAGAGCACAAATGAAACAGGCGTTATTATACCAAGGAACATTAATCACAATAGATCAGGTAAGTGGCTATAAAACAAATTTTTAAACTTTTAGTATGATGTTCAGTAGTATACTAATCCAATTGATATACTTATTAAAGATTAGCGAACCTGATATTCCGAAGGATATTGTTGAACATATATATGACATTCCGCAAATCAGGTTGCAAGAACTTCTATCAAATATAGATAATAATGAAATCCAGGAAATATGGGAAGTTCACTATATAACGATGACATCCTTAACAGCTAAGCCACACTACGTAGCAATTCTTGCAGATTCAACATCATTTTGTACATGCATGTACATTATTAACCAAGGGATGCCATGTCGACATCAGTATCAGGTTCTACTTCAATCTGATAAAGCGTTATTCCATATGGGTTTCATTCATACGCGTTGGTTTGAATCTACCACTGGTCAGAATAGTCCATTTCATCCAAATTTCAAATTGACGAATGTTAGACGAAAGTTGGTCTAATTTTGGCCGATCATTGCCAAAAAAATCGTCAAAATTATTATTGACGATTTGCACAGTTCGCCTGCCACTTGGCAATCAAAAATTGGCAAAAATTCATTAAAAAATTGGAAATAAACTATTCGTCAACCTTTTACTAAACATTCGTCCAAATTTCAAATTGCCGAATGTTGGACAAAATTAAGTCTAATTTTGTCTAATTGTTAATGATTTTTATGTATTTAGTCAATTGATTATATTTTATTATTTCGCTTTATTAAAATTACACATTAAAAATTATAATATTAAATAACTAATATCTACAGTATCTGCTATTTACACCTACCATCCGATCCACCATCCACCATCTATCATTCACCATTCATCATTCACCATTCCATTGTCAACCATCGTCAACCACCATCAACTATTGTCCACATACCCATCATCCACCATCCATCATCCACCATCCATCATTCATTATCATTCACCATCATCCACTCATCTAAAATTATCTACGACTTACTCTATCTGATGAAAGTCTGAAAGAGAAACCTACAAAAAAAAATAAAGAAACGGTTAGTAAACCGTTATTATTTCAATAAAAAAAGGTCAAAATTTTGAAGATTCAAAACCTACCCATTCAATAGAAGTCCGAAAGAAAATCTACAAAAAAAAATAAAGAAACGGTTAGTAAACCGATTCTTTAATAAAAAAAATTTTAGTTTCGAAATATTTTCGAAACTTATCCAACCAAAAATTCAAAGTGGAAACCTACAAAAAAAAAGAAGAAACGATTAATTAAAGTTTTTTGATAAAAAAAAAATAATTTCGAAATATGAAACTTACACGATTTGTTCAATATAAGTTCGAAGTGGAAACCTACAAAAAAAGGAAAGAAATGATTAGTTTTTTATTAAAAAAGTTTCGAAAAGAAGCAAAATTTCAAAATTCGCCTATCCAAAGCCCAAGGATATCACAACCGATACCTACAAAATAAAAAAAATAAATAAATAAAATTAAAAATTTATTTTTTAAAGTTTCGAAAAGAAAATAAAGCTTCGAAACTCACCTATCCAAATCCCAATAACTGAAAGTCGTAGCCTACAAAATAGAAAAAAAGAAACAAACAATTAAAAAAAATATTTTTTTTAAAAAAAAGTTACGAAGTTTTACTTCAAAACTCACCCGTATATCCAATGCCCAATAACCGAAAGCCAAAATCTACAAAATAGAAAAAAGAAACAATTAAAAAGATGTTTTTTTTTAAAAGTTTCGAA